GAGGAAAACACACCTGATGATCGTTAACAAAAAAAAAATTAATGTGTAGCGTTCCATTTTTCAAACCAATATTTTCATTTTTAAAAGATAATAATGTAACCAAAATATTCATTCAAATTAGAAGACCATTGCTTGACACTCAAAACCTAAGTATGCAAAATCAGAGTAAGTAAAAAAATCATGAAGAAGTCTTATATCATAATATCGATGTGTGTATAGTCAGCCTTATCCTTCCCTTAGTCTAAAGAAGTACATGAAACTATTTAATCAACAACTATAAGCATGAAGCTTAATTAGTTAATATATCACAAACATCACCATAATATGTACACAAGAAAGCATTAGGACTCTTTGACTCAAGACATGTCCCAAACTTATCATCAACCTACCGAGTACTGATTGGCTTGTGGTCTATCCTGATCTTTTCATCAGCCCAATCAAGCACATAACATACCAATCAACAAGCATTAAACAACAATTCATAATCAAGAACCTATTGGTTGAGCTAAGCATACTAACATGTCATATTATTACCAACCATCCAACACATAGGGGATCCAATTATGTCATAAGTAATATAGTGAGACATCTCACCTAAATGAAGTAGATGAAATCCCAACTACTCAAAGTCACACATAATCAACTACACAAACCAACTCAACCAAATCGATGTCAAACCTCACTCTATAGCCTAAAACTAAAAAGTTTAACTAAAAGTTAAACTGGTCAAAAAGTCAATGGTCAACAACCTCGTGCCGCAACTGCTAGTCTGGTCGCATCGCAGTCACAAAGTGTTCAAATAGTTATGAACCCATTCAGAAATCGTGTCGCAACTTATCCTTGGCTATATCATCGTTCCCCTGGCAGAACCCTTTTTTCATTAAGCACTTAATTTATTTAGGTTAAGGCTTAAATCTTCAGATCTGAATCTCTTAGGGGACTTAAGGGATAAAGTTTCCAATTGATCCAGATTTATAACCCAAACAAACCCAATCTCAAACCCTAATTCCTTTTATCCCATAATTTCTTGAATTCTTTGCATGGACACCGATAATCTCATTCATGCACTCTAAAAGGTCCTTAACAAGTCTAGAATTCACCTATAAATAAACTAACGATTCAGGACTTCTCAAAAATCCAAGAACTAAAAAAAGGGCCAACATAGATCAAAATCTCTCCCCAAGTCTAGATCCAAGTACAAAACTAAATAAATCAATGAAATTTAGATCTTATAATGATAGAGGGGTGACCAGAAGGTAGAATCTTGAGCCAGAAAGAATTGGTCCAAGAACCAAAACAATCTTAATCTCCACAATAATCTCTCCAAAAACCACCAAACTCTTGAAGAGGCACAAATTAGGGGATAGGGGAGGGGAGATAAGGTTCGATCTGAAAGGTGGAGGTTAAAGACAAGAGAAAACCTAATATCTAGGGTTTGGAGTTGTGGTATCCACCGTGTTGCAACCAACTACCAACCGTGTTGCTACTTAACAATGTGGCTCGCACTACGAACGCCAAGAGACAGCACCATGACCAAGCCAAAACCTTAATTCAAACCCAACTTAATGAAGACCGGGAGATAGACCACCAACTAAAAAATCAGTTGTACAAGGTGCATAATGATAGTTTGGTTCATAAAATGGCAATGAAATGAGGAGTGTTGAACATCATAATAATTTAATCTAGCAGTAAAAGTCCTTGATACATAAAAAGAAAAAGCTAGAAGAAGTGAACCATAAAATTGACCTATCCAAATATGTTGATGTGTTTACTCGAATGTATTCCATATTTCCTATTATTAAAGTCGGGTGCACCAAAATTGAAGATGAAAAAAATGCTTTTAGTGGATGTGGCTAGAAGAGATGATTATGGTGTATACCCTAAGAAAGTGAATGTATCAGACGTTGTCAAATATGGGTATAACGAGTGAATCGAGATGGCTAATATTGTTAAAGAGCACAAAGGGATTCATGCTTAAGAGCTAAGAATGGTATTGAAATCTATGATCAATAAGGCTCAAAATTTAAACCTTATTCCTGCTGATGCTCATTCTTCTCATGTTGGTTAAAGTTCATCATTGATTAAAGCTCATATCTTCTACTGGGTGTTGAATATGAAGATTGCATGCTGATTCGTAAGCATGTATACGAAATATTTTACAGAAATAGGAATGAAGTAATATACTTCATGAGAACATATGATATTCCTAATGCTCCCAGTTCTCAACTGTTCTATCTAAGGGAAGAGTGTAGGGAATAAGAAGTCGTTGAAGGTTTTTATTATCTCTTGTCTTTTGAAATTAACAAGAGAAGGGATGAAGTGAAGTAGGATGATTATAAATGGTTCAAGCTTGAGATAATCGATGAAGTTGAGAACGTTAGAGCTTGGGAAAATGATGTGATAGGTTGCTACGTTATTTTTGGAGTGTGTTTTGACATTATCAAATTAGGAGAGATCGTTAGATCGAGCCAATGAATTTGATTAGTGTCAAACTACTTTAACATTACATATTACCTCAACGTGTGCTTACACTGACAATTAATTATTGAAACGTTAGCATGGATGTCTTTCTTGTGCTGCAAATCCAGATATGAAGTCGTAGTGATTAGGATTAATATGCATAATTTGTTCGCTGATTTGTATGAATTTGTTTTTATCTTATAATATAATATATAAGTTATGTTAGGGTTTGTTTTGATGTATACACTAACCGATTGTAATAAAAAAACCTCTTTGTGAGAACTATATCTTTAAATCAGAATATCTTTCTGATTAAGCTTTGTAAATTGTTGATTTGGTCTTATTTATTTGCAATTACACGTGTTTACGATCTAAAAGCTTCTCCACAACCACCATAAATAGTTTATATCGTCAAATAAATTTTCAACATCCACACTATAAGAAGAGCGGCGGCAGAAGAGAGAAAAGATATCGAGATGAAAAATTGCACATCATGCAAGAAACCGAGCAAAAGAAAGTTGAACTCTTAAATCGGGAGATAGAGGTGCAAGATATGCAATTTTTTTTTAATATGCATGAATATTTGGCTGGAAGTAGTTGTGAATCGTGCTTGAGAAGAAACAAGAAAGTACGGAAAAATATTATGTTAAATTTTATATATATATTTTTTGGTTTTAAATTTTAGTTAAATTTAGTTTAACAAATGAAAAGTAAAAAATTAAGGGTGTTGCTAATAAGATACTCCTGGACACCTTGTTGATCACTTTTTAAAAAGTCGACCTATAATTAACTAGTTATAATCAACTTTTTCGGAAAATAATATAATTTAAACCAATAAAAATATTTAAAAATTAAAGTAGGGTGTCTATATGGTAAAATATGGTATCTTTTTAGCCAACCCTAAAATTAAATGAGTTGGAAAGGATTGAATTAGAGATGGATGGAAGCCACAGAAAAAAAGAAAAATATGAGAGTGTTGTAGCAAGTAGGTTTGGGAGGGATGGACTCCCTTACCTTAACAAATATAAAAACCATGGTTCTAAAAAGCGCACCATGGCGTGAAGCATGGTGTAGCCGTTACGAAAACGTCCAATGCGGGTTTGTTAAGCGTGACGCTCAAATAACATGTCAGGGCGTGCCTTATCGCGTTATGGCGCGAGTTTTTTTATATTTTTTTGTTCTTTTTTTTTGTCAAACCTAAAACAATTGTTTTTTTGTTAACTTTTTTAGATTAAATATTAATATAACACTTCTAAAAACTTCATATATTTGATAAAATTCAATAATTATATAATTTTTTTTAATGTACATAAAATAGTCACGATTTTAAAAACGTCATGGCTCGCCAAAGTTTGCAATAACTTAACTTTGATCTTGCCGCCAAGCCACGCCTTACGTTATTTTGAACATTGATAAAAACAAAACACAAAAATCAAATTGAAAAAAACTTTTCTTTTATGGGGATACATTAAATTTTTACATTTTGTGTTTTTTGTCATGAAAAAACTAAAGAAAAAAAAAATCGTGGATGGTCTAAAATATGAAGGTTTATAAATGGTTGATTGAAGTTTACTACAAACATCCCATAAAGCAAATCCACAAAATTTCTGCAACCTTGACTCGTTAAACAGATTCAATGAATTTATGCTCATAGTTTATTTGGAATATAAGAATTCATGGAAAGCATGATCGATTGAGTAGAATACTGAATGACAAAGTTAGAGGCTTTCCCCGAAAAGTATATATGTCTTCTCTTTAACAAGAGTCCTCATTATATACTCTACATACAAGCTTATTAAAAGCCTAAAGTTATAGATTTTTAGTTTATAAAACAACTTACGTACCCTAATCTTAAAAAAAAAACTAAATATCTAAAGATAACGAGAATAAAAAATTATTGTTCTGATTTGATTTTCTACATAATATCCAGCGGAGATTGATTTGCTGCATAAATATTAATCAACTAATAGGCTAATATCATTGACACTGAAAAAGATGTAAAAGTAAGCAAGTATTGTTGCCTTTACGTAAAAAATTAACATTGTGGTAGCAACCGCACTTTTTAGTGCTAAGCTGTCATCCGTATGGCCTTCGAGCTTTTTCGTTTGTGGTGATTTGCTGAATTCCAGACACTGAATTTCATTGATTCCTTCACTTTCCAGAATATGTCAAGCTTTTTATTGGTGTTGATATGTTGATTCTTGGGAGCCACAGTGTTTTATCGATTAATGTACTTTCCCACATATATCTCTGCACTTCCATCAGTACACAAATTATTGATTCCTGTTCATGGCTTTAGAATCTTATGTGGGTTTTCACTTTTCATATAAGCTTCTACAAAATGCGTATTGAAATCATATTATTATCTATTCAATACTAAATATTGTATCATAAGCTACCCCTTGGAATAATACAGACGCTATAGTACTATATGCTACATCCTCTCCGATCACTTACTGTTAACATAATAAGCAGTAATCGACTTAGAGCTTAAAAAGGGAAAAGAAATCAATCATGGCTTCATGGAACGCGATCTGGTTTTAAAGAAAATCCGATGAGCTTGACCCAGACTGGTTTGAAGATTCTGCTCTTAGGTAAGCATCGTTACAGTGGATCTCATCTAGATCTCTTAAAGCAGAATAGGTCCCATTAAGCTGCATATCAGTAACCATTTGACGTAAACCAGAAACTTCATCCTTAAGTTGAGTATTCTCTTGAACAACTTTTTCATGAGTCTCAGTGAAACTATTAAGTTTGTCAATAAGTTGATGGTTTTCATTACGAAGCCACATAACCTGTGACCAAAGTTCATCGAGGTGCTTCTGTTTCCGCATGCGTGACCTACGTGCTGACTCTCGATTAGATATCATCCTTCTCTGCTTCCTCTCATTGATGAGACTTAGTTGTTGCTCATCTGCTTCATCGGATGTTGAGTTGCTTCCAAAATACATAGATTGCATATTCAAATCTTGAACGCGTGGATTCATATGAAGGTGGTAAAGAGGGTTTGTCAGTGTGTTGACGTCAAACGGGATTGTTGGTGAATTGCTTAGATTCATGGCTAAATGTGGTGTGTTAGGATTAGGGTTTGTAGGAACCAAGTAGTGGAAGTCTGTAGGCTCATTGGCTTGCATGTCTGTGAATATGGATTCCAACTTGGGCAAATTTAGTAGGTGGGGAATAAAGATTATAACCAAGAGAAACCAGATATTGAAGTTGTTGTTTTGGAAGACGAAGGAGAACATGAGGTAAGAAGGCCCTTTTATAGTATGCCAAAAGATACAACGGGTCCCACCTGTATAATTTACTCTTGTATGTCCGTATGATATACAGATATGATACCAGACCCACGTGTCATTCGCTTACGCTAAACGTATCCAAATGTGAGATAACATATGAATCAAATACATGTATAAGAAATACCCTTTTCTTTTGAGAAATTTTGAATTATTTGTTGTATTTTCGTAGTATATGTAGTTTACATAGTTTTTAGAATGGTCAACTGAATACATGGTTCATGATTGATTCAAGACGCTTTGGCCTACGTGTGGTTTACGGCTTTTAATGTGGATAGGATTTAAAGCTTAAAGCATGCTTTCATCACTCCCAGTGGCACACTTATGGAGACAGAGAGAGGTGGAGGTATAATTAATTCTATGGGAAAACGCTATAGGAAACTAAACAAACGAAAGAAATGTGATTATAAAATGAGGGTTAAAGTGGTGATTAAATATTTTTTTTACTGTCAAGTGTGTCTTCGAGGGGTAGTGACGTAATAGGGCAGAGATAAGCAAATGGAAATGTGAGAAGATAAACCCTTTTGCTATAAGTGGAAAAGATTATATATGAAACTGATGACTCACTGGCCACTGTGGCGGGGTAAGAATGAGACGAGACCTTATAATGAGAACAAAATAATACTTCTTAGTTCCTCTCTCAAACATAATTCAGTAGTCTTTTGGATTTGATTTTGTTCCAAAATAATTGAACATTTTTGTTTTCTTTTTCAATTTTAGGTATGCAATTTTTATATCATCTTTATGGTGGTTGTTGAAATAACATCCATAAATAACTTATTCACAACCCTTGCAAAGTCGAAGAGTCTTAGTGTGCTATGGCTGCCTTTTCGATCCTTTTATATAATGGTGTGTTCCTATATATTATATTAATTATATTAATTAATAATCCATGTGAATACCTTGAGGATGAAATTATTTCTCCATTTGCACAACAGATCGACCCTATTGCGACAAAATAGTCGCTAGATAGGAATTGAGTTATGGAGCATAATATTCCCCTTTACTAAATTACCAAGATCCACAGTGTAGCGAGTACAAGGTCTGCATTTCTCGCAAAATATCTATTGTGTGTGAGAGCAATGTTTATGGTTCAGACACCAAAAAAGACCGTTTAGTTGATAATATTTGTTGGTTTGGCTTGTAAGCAATTTTTAGATCACCTCATCGTTATAAATAGATCTTCATGTATATCTATAGCCTTGAGCAAAAAGTACGTGTTTGACGACTACAATTAATAAAATACATATGTAGCTCGTCCGTTGTTGTGCTACGAGCACAAAGGTCTGCATTTCTTGGAAAATGCTTGTGGTGCTCGAGAGCAAGGTTTGCAGTTCAATGTTTGCGATGCAGAGACTAGAACGTTTGTTCAGTTGATGACATTTTTTTGGCTTGGCCAACAATCATTTTTTTAAGATCAATTCATTATTATAAATAGATCTTTCTATACATCTAATACCTTACCAAAGGGTTAGAATTAATAAAAAAAACCTATATGTAGTTTTTTAGAGCAATACACACAACACACTCTCTACACTACTCTTAAACTACTTCTTTCGTCTCCAATAAGACTTGAATCCTTAACCTTTCGTCGATGGACACCTCTCCACAAACACCAAATATCGATAGGTTACAAGCCCTTTGGTAAAATCTTTTTGTAGTTCATCCTTGAATTAATTGACCACTCTAATCATATGATCTACGCTAATGTCTTCTACTATTTAGCTTTATTCACATATTATTGTGTTGTTGTTTGTTAACTATTGCTCCCAACAAGGAACCCAATGGTGATATGTCGTCTTTATAATGTTCGTTGTTGAAACTTTGTGTAATATCCTGTTCCGAATCGTTTGCTAATGTAGGGTGGTGACCCGAAGATCAGGTATCATAAAGCTTAGGATCCATTTGGGTGTCGGTAATGAAATTTAGATGATTCGGGAGTTCGGTTTGTGTCTTGGAGCTAAGGGGTATATCGGTAAAGTGTCAGTTTAGACTTTTATGGAAATTGGATTTTTAGTTCGGGAAGTTTTAAGGCAAGGAGTACAATGGGCATACTAAGAATACGCATAGCATACTCCAGTTTCATGTAAACCCTAATTTAGGGTCTTGGATCCTTGTTAAGCTCCTTAACTCAACACTAAACCCTATTATCCTCAGCCTCCATCCCTCTATGCGAGGCGTACATAGGGAGTACGTTGGGCGTACTAGGGAGAAGGATCACGGACATCAGTAGGAGTGCGCTGGGTATACTAAGAGTATGCAGGGCATACTACAATTTCATGTAAACCCTAATTTAGGGTCTTAGACCCTATTTAAGCTCCTTAACTTAACACCAAACCCCATTATCCTCAGCCTCTATCCCATTAAACCCTAGATCCAAAACCCTAAGATCTTGTGGTGATTTTTGAGCTTGAAAAGTGATTTGTGGGTGTTTTGTTGTGAATAATAAGAAGAGGAACACTTAGAGGAGTGCCTTGAGCTTGTGGATCCAGGATTACCTTCTCATTTGCAAGCTTTTTTATGGTAAAAAGCTCATACCTTGATGATTATTTATGTTAGAACTACTTTATGGTGTTTCTTGGGCATTTTTATGTCTTTTAAAGTAAAGATGAGCTTTTGATCTACTCCATAAGTAATGAATGATAGATTTAGGCTCCAATAAGGTCCCTTGTTCATAGAATGCAAACTTTATGGAAGATTTTGGTTTATGTAAGTATTAAGACCCTATTTGTCACACCCCCGAACCAGGACGGCTGAAACATCTGAGGACGGGTGACTTGATCTTGTAATATCATAACAGTTGATTATAAATGAGATATAGCAACCAAACACCATGCATTCAGATACCAACATACATTGTTACAACTTTGAGTTTGTTCATGAAATTACATCCAAAATAACACAATGTATGATATTTCAAAAATACAAAAATTATCCAAAAATCCATAGCTGCCAAACCTGCTTACTGTGTCCCTGAAAATACAAGTTGTTTTGAAAAGCATCAACATAGAATGTTGGTGAGTTCATAATCATATTTGTAAGAAAAATTTATATTAGTTTGTAAACTCTAGAAAATCCAATATTTTCTGTAAAAATAGTTTGTGAGTCTTGTTTCAAATCATATATAATTGTATGTGTATTCTTTGTTTGCTTTGTTTGAAATTATATAGAGTGTGTTCCCAGAAAATCCTATATTTTCTGTTATATGAAAAGTTGTGGTCTTAAAACCCTAAGACCAGAGTGGTGAAATTAGTTGCAAAACAGACGACACATAGTTTTGTACTTTATAAAATGAGTAGAGTGCATGTTTTGCGTAATTTTAAAATAATATTGTTATTCTCTATGTGAGTCGTTACAACCATACTAATGTGACTAAAGCACATATCTTGACGTTCTTCAGGCATCGGTTTATAAAGATAATTGTCAACATAGACCGGCCTGTCTAGTTGTAGCGAACAACTCAGGGTGTGGGGGTGTCAACCCCGTAGAGATCTATACACAATATTCCGCTCTCCATCCAGAGTTGTGAAATTAGTTGCAAAATAGACGACACATAGTTTTGTACTTTATAAAATGAGTAGAGTGCATGTTTTGCGTAATTTTAAAATAATATTGTTATTCTCTATGTGAGTCGTTACAACCATACTAATGTGACTAAAGCACATGTCTTGACGTTCTTCAGGCGTCGGTTCATAAAGATAATCGTCACCATAGACCGACCTGTCTAGCTGTAGCGAACAACTCAGGGTGTAGGGGTGTCAACCCCGTATAGATCTATACACAATATCTTGCTCTCCCTCTATAGTGGTGAAATTAGTTGCAAAATAGACGACACATAGTTTTGTACTTTATAAAATGAGTAGAGTGCATGTTTTGCATAATTTTAAAATAATATTGTTATTCTCTATGTGAGTCGTTACAACCATACTAATGTGACTAAAGCGCATGTCTTGACGTTTTTCAGGCGTCGGTTTGTAAAGATAATTGTCACCATAGACTGGCCTATCTAGCTGTAGTGAACAACTCAGGGTGTGGGGGTGTTAACCCCATATAGATCTATACACAATATCCCGCTCTCCCTCAATGAGACTGCTTATAACTACAGAACTTACGATGTACACTAGGTAGGTATGAGTGAAGGAGTGTCTCACAAGAGCCTTAACGGAATTTACGCGAATATTGAATTTCATTATTTAACGTTGGAAATAATGTTACTAGTGTATACTTTCGACTACAAAATTATAACATGCAATAATTCCTGTTGTAGTTTACACATTTTAATAGAAGTGATTAAAACCGTAACGATAGACAGGTTATGACATGCAACTTTCGTGTCATAAAATAAGTTTAGTTCATCAACTTGGTAGATTTATTTATAAAATTCTTTTTATAAATATTTAAAGTTGTAACTAATATAATTTATGATATTTTACCACAATTGACAAAAATAGTCAATTTTTACCATAAGTGTCAAAAATAGTTCATTTTTACCATAAGTGTCAAAATAACTCATTTTTACCATAAGTGTCAAAAATAGCTCATTTTTAACATAAGTGTCAAAAATAGCCTATTTTTACCATGAGTGTAAAAAATGGCCTGTTTTTACCACAAGTGTAAAAAATAACTCATTTTTTCATATGTGTCAAAAATAGCCCATTTTTACCATAAGTGTCAACAATAACCCATTTTTACCATAAGTGTCAAAAATAACCCATTTTTACCATGAGTGTCAAAAACGGTCCATTTTTACCATAAGTTTCAAAAATAGCCTATTTTTACCATAAGTGTAAAAAATATCCTATTTTTACCATTGTTCAAACTTTCATGTCTAAATATGTTTCCAAATGACTTGAGACTTGTACAAAATCTTGATTTCATGGTATCACAACATTTCAACACACAAAACATATGAAACATACACATACAAGCAAATATTTAAGGATTTAAAC